AGGATCTCTGACAGCGCCAGGCAGACTCCAGGTTGGCTCCTCAGCACCTCATGGGCCTTAACTTCCTACAAGACTCTATTTACTTGTCAACAGCGAGTCATTGAAAAGGATTCACCTGTTTGAGTATAACCTACAACATTAGGTAGATGGCACAGTGGGTAAAATGCTTGCTGTGCCAGTGTGCTGGCCAATTTTATGTTAGCTTGACAGAAGCTAAAGTTATCTGAAAGGAGGGAACCTCAGTTGAGAAAATGCCTCCATAAGATCCATCTGTAAGACATTTTCTTAATAATTGATGGTGGGCCCAGTCCATTATGGGTGGTGCCATTCCTGGGATAGTGGTCCAGAGTTCTATGAGAAAGCAGGCTGAGAAAGCCATGATGAGCAAGCCCAGTCAGCAGCAACCCTCCATGGCCTCTCATCAGCTCCTGCCTCCAGGTTCCTGCCCTGTGTGAGCTCCTGTCCTGACTTCCCTCAATGATGAGGAGTGATATGGAAGTGTAGGCCAAATAATCTTTTCCTCCCCAACTTGCTTTGGTCATAATGTTTCATCACAGTAATAGTAACCATTAACTAGGATAACAAGCATAAGGACCTGAATTCAGATCCCCAGCCCCTGTGTAAAATCTGGCACAACAATTCACTCCTGTAGATCCAACACTAGGGATGGAGTATAGAATAGAGATAGGCAGATCCCTGGAGGTCACATGATACCCTTCTAGGAACTCTTTTTTCATATGGGACATCACGTCACTACATAACCAGGCTGGCTTGTAACTTGCTCTGCCGCCTGAGCTTGTCTGGGAGCAATTGCTTCTTTAAATGCTGGAATTTCATTCACTGTGGCTCCTGAGGAGCTATGTTGTTTGAAGAAGGCTTTCCCACAATCTGCTGAATCACTTCAGGTGATTCTCACCGCAACGGTTTCAAAACTTGGCTGTGACCTGAGACCAACTTGCAAATCTTGAGTTTAGTAGTTCTGGGGTTTCAGAGGTGAGACGATCAAAGCCTCTTTCAGACCATGTGCTGAGTTTTGACATGTGACTGAAATGATAGTGTCTCCCATTGGACAGACCTTAACTCTGTAACTCATGGTTACAACTCTGCAGATAAAAGTCAGGCATTTAGAGAGAGGTATTTCTTCCACACCAACTTTTTGTCCACTTGATCTTAGCACTCTGAGTAGCCAGAGACTGTTTCTGCTCCCAAGTAAGTCTGGGTGGTAACTGAGAAGTTGCAGTCTCAAAAGTCCCAGGTGGAACTGATGAGCCTGCAGAAGACTGTGAGTAGCTCTGGTTCCAGGAGTCCATTTCCAGGGCTGAGTTACTCATTGAAGGCATAGTCATTAAACACTGTCTGTCTTTGGTCCTGGAGATAGGTGTAATCCCATTACTTTCTAGCTCTAACATCAAGAGCAGGGAGAAATGATACAGTTGTATGTTTTCCTGTGGGTGAAAGTAGTTTTCCCTTAAGAAAAGGCTCACAGGAAATCATTCAGTTTGTGTCAAACCCCAGAGGGACCAAAAGGAAAATTTTAATGGTAGAATCACTGTCCTATGGAAGACTGAATTGATCTTATCAGAGATCTAAATTGCAGTGAGAGGCAAGCTGTCCTGGGTAAATGGTCCAAATAATCGAGGGGCAGTTCTTCTCAGATTGATGGGCATTAGAGGGACTGGGACTCCTGCCAAGGAGCTGGTGCTGAGAGGTGGGTTGAAAGATTTGGTGCTACCAGACTTGGTTCTGGTGAGATCTCCCTTCCTGGTTTGCAGATAGCTGCTGCCCTCCTGGGTCTTCATGTAGCCCCCTCCTCTGTGTGTGTGTGTGGTGGGGCAGTGGAGGGGAGAATAAAAGATTTCTGGGATCTTCTCTTTCTTTTATAAAGACACCAATCTTATCACAAGGCTCTGCCTGTATGACTTCATTTAACCTGATAAGCTTCAAAATAATCTTGTCTCCAGATAAAGTCATGCTGGACTTTAGGCTTTGAAATATAAATCGTCTTTAAGGGTCAAGTAGTTGTCCACTGGGGGTGAAATGGGAGAAAATGGATACTGACTAGAGATAGATCCATGACAGTCGTTAGTAAGCCAACATCTTGATTGCCTTCTGAATACCTGTAATATGAGAAGTGGGGAGGCTCTCAAGTGGTGTGGGTACCTAGATGGTAAGAGAACAAGAAAGAATCCCAACTGTAATGTGAAGTTCAAGCACATTCGTGTGAGAGAAAATTAGCTTTGAAATCTTACTGAGTTCCTAGAGATTTATTGCTAGGCTTGGAGCTTTCAGGACACTGCTTAGTGGGCCCATGGGAGCTGGTGGTAGAGAGGACCCAGGAGAACTTCTCTGGTCAGAGTAGAACTATGCTTTGCAGAGATAACTGAACATGTGGGTAGGTGGGTGGGGATGAGGAATGGGAGGGAGGGAGAGAGAGACTTGAAATGACATAGAAAAGTGCTGGTGGGATGGCTCAGTGGGTAAAGCCATCCGGAAGATCTGAGTTTAATCCCAAGGACCCATAAGGTGGAAGAAGCAAACTGATTCCTGCAAGTTGTGCTTTGGCCTTCATGTACATACCATAGCACCCCCCCCACAAATGCACATAAATGCTCGTGAGTACTCTCTCTCTCCCCACCCCGGTCTGTCTCTCCACATCCCCATGTAGAAAGTACCAGATGGAACCCTGCGCCCTTGCAGCAGTTGGGCTCAGGCTCCTCGGCTGACTGGGGAGGAGAACCTGTAGCCTGCAGGGTGCCTGGGTAGAACTGTGTTTCAGCAATGGGAACTGGAGCAGTGTTCCAGCCTCCGTCTCTCTTTATGATGACGACATGGAAAAGGCACTGCTGGATGCCCAGCATGAATCTGGATGAAGTATCTCTGAGAGTCTTCGCCTCTCTCCAGACACCACAGACACACACAGCCAAAACAGACACCACAGCACTGGAGAGAAAAACAGCACTCTGCCTGAGGAAGATTATATTGAGAGAAGAAGAGAAGTTTGAAAACCTCAGATGGGATGTGGGGTTGGTCAGGTAGGCCAGAAAATATCTGCCTCTGCCACCCACCCACAAGGAGTTCCTTCTTAAACACCCGAAGAGCACAGCTACTCAGCATGAGAAACACAAGTGTATGATGAAGAAAAGGGTGTTGAGAAATCGGACTTTCTGAAGGTTTTTCTTTCATTTCTGTTGCTGTCTCATCTACTGGCCTAGATTGGGAGTCTACATTGGAAGGAGCCTGGTGACTCCCACTAGTACCTCTGATGAAGAACTGCACCTGACTTTCATTCACACATTCATCTGAGCTGCAACAGCTAACTGAAGAGCGTGATCCTTGGTTGTGTGTGCACCGTGATTGCAGTGTTCCTGACTTAGTGAGACAGAATAGACTCTAATATCATGATCTATAGATTATATCTATGGGATCAATTAACAAGTGTGTCAGACTTATGCCTATTGTAGCATTTATTAGTAGATTCTCCTTGAATATTGGCTATAAATAGTATAATTTTAATATAGTAGCAATGGTGTATTTAAAATTTATCTGTAATTAATTGTAATCCAATTAAAGCAATTTACACTTCAAAAGAATGAGTTAGTGGTATTAAAATCATTTAAGGATTTGTCCTAAAGGAATATTGGGGCCTTATGATCCTATTATATAGTATAAAACACTACATGGTTAATTAAGTGATACAGGTTATCTTTAAGGACCTCTTACTGTGTGGATTGTTAAGTAGCAGGTAGAAGCTAAAGTTATCTGTAAATGGAGTTCTTAATTGGTCTAAAAAATAAAAACCTGGAGTCAGATATAGAGGAAAATGCTGAAAGATCAGAGAGAAGAAGGAGCAAGCCAAAGCCTTCATTCTTCTCAGCAGAAAAGAGCCTGCTTATAGCCTTTCTCCGACCAGACGTCTCACTTCCTGTCTGTCTGTACAGACCTCCAGACCTCTATGGTTAGCTAGTGGCAAGCTCCATCCTCTGGTCTTCAGAGAAGCTTTATTTGCACAAGCAAGATATCACCACAGTTACCCGTGTCCCCCACTGTGTGGCCCCCATGTGCTCTTCTTGCTCTCCAGCCTGGCTGTCTGCTGTCTGCCATCACTCTGCTGACTTTAATTAACCCCATTGTTTGTACTTAAATTTTGTGTTTTTAAAATAAGCTGTTTCATAAGCAAATCTGTCTACTTTAAAAACTGGGAATGGGCAAAATAAATATAAATCCTAAAAACAAAAAATGCTAGATGTCAATAATATTGTGGAGACAGATGGGGGTTTTGTAGCTGATTGGGCACAGGTCGTGGGGTGGGGGTTGGGTTGGGACCAAGTCTGGAATGAGGCCAAAGCAGTCCTCCTTACATAAAAGAACCCAATCCAGTCCCAGGATATCCTGGTACCAGCAATATTCCCTTGACTTTATTCCATCCCTTTCTCTGAGATGCTCTGGCGGCCACCCTGTGTATGTTCCCTGCTCAGTCTGTATAATGTTACCTACAAGTTTTCTCTTCTTAATGCGTGGCATTCACCTTGCCAGCCTTGGTTATGCCTTCCCTCATCAAACCCACTAACAAAGGCTGTGGGCTTTGTTTTTAAAGCATAAACAGCCGGTCTCCAAGCTTGTTTTTGTCTCACCTAGGCCAAGTTGCTATCCTCGCTCTCACCCAGCTGCAACGGTGGCCTTCTGATGTTACACTCCCTGCACAGGATGCAGAGATGAATGGCTCAGCTCCTGAGCAGCTGGACTCACAGGGCACCCTGATGGGCTGTGGGACTTCTCCTGTCCTCTTCACAGTTCAAATCAAGTTAAAGAATGACCCACAGATGGTCTGATGTGTAGATGTGTCCTGTTGCTCCTTCAAGCCTCTTTGTGTTTTTGTTATTTTTCAAGTCCCCATGCCTGCTGTGGGAATTGGACCCACAGATGTCAACATAGGCAAGACCCAGCAGTCCTCTGATTGCTCATGTTTATTTGTTTATTTATTTATTTACTTTTGTTTCCAGATTGGAGCCTCTCTCTTTGCCAGTAACATTGGAAGTGGTCACTTTGTGGGACTGGCAGGGACAGGAGCAGCCTCAGGCATTGCCATGGGAGGCTTTGAATGGAACGTGAGTAATACCCGAGCCACTGTATCCTAGGGGTAGAAGGAGCTGGTATCAGTTCCTTTTTCATTACTGTAATAAAATGTTGGAGGCAGATTAACTTTATAAAGAAAAGATACTTATTTAGTCAATAGAGTTGAAGGCTGAAGTTTAAACAACACTGTTCAGGCTGTTGTGAGGCTCCCCCTGGACTGTGTAACCTCAGTGTGGGTGGCAAATGATGGAGGGACGTCACCCACAGCAGGAAGTCCTTTTAGAATTACCTAGAAGACACAAGGCCTTCCCAGTGTGCTCTGCTACCTCATAGAGGCACTGCCACCTTTCTACATGGAGGACTAAGCTTCCGGTGTGTGGTTACAGCAGAGTCTTAGCAGCCAGCACTGTCTATGTTCGGAGGACCCTGAAATGTTATGGGATCCTCAGAACCACCCTGGGTGCAGATGGGGTTATTTTTTAAAATTAATTTATTTTTTTACATTTCAATCACAGTTCCCGCTCCCTCCTCTCCCCCTGATCCCCCCACTCCCCCTCCCACCTCCCGTCTGCTCATCCGAGAAGGTGAGGCCTCGATGGGAACATTTTGACTCCGGGAGCTTTCATAGGAGAGGCACTCTGGTTATATCCTCACAGGGCCCCCCTCTCTTCCCTTGGTCCTAAAGGGGAGGCTTCCTCCAGCCATATTAGAGGTTGGGAAATGCTGCTGGATCTTCCTCCCTCCCTCCTTTCATCTTTCTTTCCTCTCTTCCTCTATCCTTCCCCCTCCCTCCCTCTGTTCCTTCCTTTTTCCTTCCTTTCTTTCCATTTTTCTCTACATGATATTTTACTACTTATAAACCAGGGAAGAAGAAAAAAGAGAACTCAGAGCTCTAGGGGGAAGTCTACTCTGTATTGACAATGGGGAGTCTGCTCTGTGTTGACAGCGGGAAGTCTGGGCTGCACCCTGGGTTCTCTTCCACTGTTGTCTCACATGCTTTTTCCATAGGCCAAGCAAGTAGCAACATCTATCCTAGCCACTTAGGAAGAAAAGAAGGAAGGAAGGAAGAAAGGAAGGAAGGAGGGGGTGGGGATTCTATAGCAGTTGAGGGTCTCTTGAAAGAGGTAGAGGTGGGTAAGTTTTCTTCTGATCTGAATTTACCTCTTGTTTTGGTTGCAGGCCTTGATTTTTGTGGTTGTGCTGGGCTGGATATTCGTCCCTATTTACATCAGGGCTGGAGTAAGTACCCACTCTGTTATCTCTCCTCATCAGCAAGTATACATGTGAACTTGATCCTTTTGGAGTCCACAGGGGACTTTATGGCATAAATGACAGAGAATAGTCCAGGTCTGTTTTCATTCCTAGGTTTTAAGATAGCTCCTGATTGTCTGCAGGGGCTCAATTCAGTCCAAGTTCATTACTCTTCCATCTAGGAAGGTCCCTAAGTGACCCTACTTTACTCAGGGCCCCGCAAGCATCCTGCATCATTTCTCAGGGTGTGTTCTTGTGCTACCCTGCTATGATCTTGTTTACTTCCTCCCCTAGAAGGGAAGGAAATAGGTTGAGAAAAAGAACTATGTCTGTAATGATAAGTCTTTCCGCCAAGCTGCCTGAGTTCTGCCTGCCGCATTAGGGCCCCAAATAACACACAGAGACTTATGTTAGGTACAATGCTGTTGGCCAATGACTAGGACTTATCTTATGGAGGATGCCGGCAGAATACGTCCTGTCATCCTGGGATCACATGGCGGCTCCAGAGTAGAGAGCAGGAGGAAGAGGAAGAGAGCAACTTCCTGTTTGTCCCTGCTTATATTCTGAGTCTGCCTGCTATGTCACTTCCTGCCTGGATTACAAGACTTTACTATATTTCCCAGAATCCTCCTCGACTCCTAGTCCCACCTATCTTTCTGCCTCATTGGCCGAACAGTGCTTTATTCAACAACCAATAAGATAAACATACACAGAAGGATGTCCCCATCATATATCACCCTTCATTTATGCACAACATCATCTCCCATTTGGAGTATGTGGCTGATCAAACATAGCTTTATCACCACCTCCTAAGTGACATATATAAGCACCTCCTTCATGTAAATGTATACATTGGGAGCTAAAGGTGATATAGGGCAAACTATGCAGGCTATATCTTCTGAAGACTTGTGGTTGTTTGTTTTTTACTCTTTTTTACTCTTTGGCTCTTTTGGAAGATCCGCCACCCAGCTCCCAAATAAACCCACAGACATGGAGTCTTAATATTTCTTATAAATGCCTGGCCTTAGCTTGGCTTGTTTCTAGGCAGCTTTCTTAACTTAAATTTTCCCCGTCTACTTTTTGCCTCTGGGTTTTTTTTCCTGATTTTTACTTCTGTATATCTTACTTTACTCTGTGGCTGGCTGGGTAGCTCGTCCCTGACATCCTCTCACTCTATCTTGCTCCCCCTTTTCGTCCCAGATTTCTCCTCCTGTTTTTACTCTCTGTCTGCCAGCCCCACCTATCCTATCTCCTGCCTTGCTATTGGCCGTTTAGCTCTTTATTAGACTTTTAGGTGTTTAAACAGGCAAAGAATCACAGCTTCACAGAGTTTCAGAAATGCTGCATAAACAAAAGCAACACATCTTTACATCATTAAAGAAACATTCCAGAGCATAAACAAATGTAACATACCTTAAAATAATATTACCACAAAGGCTCACAGATTGCTAGTGACATATTGGTTCCAGAAGACAACAGGCTAAGGATACAGGGAGCAAAACAGAGTGTGGTTGAGATTTGCAGAAGGGAACTAGCAGAATATTTGGGAAGGCTGAAGTACAATCCTTTGTACTGCCTTGTAGAACAAGGTGATAGTCACATTTAACTAGACAACTTCTTTGGTGCATTAGTAAGCGATTACCATTGTCTTATTTGTAGTAGATGCACTATATAGAAAAAATACATACATACATACAGACAGACATATGCAGAGAGACAGACACATACAAACACCTTTGCATTCACCTTTTCCAGGGCAAGCACCTGCCTCCTTGGTTATGTCAGTCATGTGTTTATTGGATACTTTTGATATACTGCAACTGAATGCTAGGGCCTCCCCTACTTCTACTGTATTGGGTATGTGGACTGAACTAAGCAAATGACAACTGGCTGCTTTGTTGACTTCCTGGGCTAACAAGGGGTATGACTCCCTGACCACTCTCCCTGGCTCTGACACCAGGATGGACCCCATGTATCTGCTTGCCCTGGGCTCTCTGTTCACTTTGGCTCCATTCCATCCCATCCAGGTGGTGACGATGCCAGAGTATCTGCGGAAGCGGTTTGGAGGCAAGCGAATCCAGATCTACCTTTCCGTTCTGTCCGTGTTGCTTTACATTCTTACCAAGATCTCAGTGAGTACATTACCATGGGTAGGGTGGGGTGGGGTGGGGGAGGGGAAGCTGGCCATTGGTTCCTTTTCTCACTACCCACATACGCTGTTCCACCAAGAAGCAGAGTGTTCCCTGTACACAAATTTTAAAACATCCTTGTTGTGTATGATAAACTACTGCAGATTGCTTGACCTTAACTATAGCGACACTTTTCCATTCTTGGTTCATCTATTTCCTTCTAATTTTTCAACAATATATAAACCAAATCCTAGAGTTTATAGTGTTTTATTCTCAATTCTTCAGCATACACCTTTAATTTTTGGAACCAATAACCATTATGCTTTTACAACATTTAATAAAAACTTAAAAAATAAAGTGATTTAAAAATTCAGATAACTTAATGTTTGGCATGTCCAAAATTTCTTGATTATCTAAAAATGTTTTCATAGGGACTCATTGAATTAATTGTTCCTCAAAGAAAAATATTTTTATAAGTTTTTCCCTCTTACATTATCCTCTGGTCTGGCTTACATACAAACACCGAAAAAATTAGATTGTTTCCTTATTCAATAATAAAAGTTCTTTATACTATTCTGGATGCTAGACCCTTACCAGGTGCATAGCTTGCAAACATTTATCGTTCACTTTCTGGACAGTGTCCTTTGATTCACAAAGGTTTTACATTTTGGCAGAATTGTCAATTTTGTATTTGTTGCTCATGCTTTTGGTGATATTTCTTAGAATTTGCTGTAAAATTCAAGAGAATGAAGATTTATTTCCATGGTTTCTATGTTTCTATTAAGAGTTAAATAAAATTGTGTGTATGTGAGCGCGCACGTGTGTGTGTGTGTGTGTGTGTGTGTGTGTGTGTATACACCATGCATGCACATATGGAGGCCAGAAATCCTTGTTAAATGTCTTTTTCTATTGCTCTCCACCTCATTTGTTTGAGACAAGGTCTGTCTCTGAACGTGGAGCTCGCCATTCAGCTACTGAGTCCCTGGGATCTGCCTGTCTCCAACCCCTGTGTTTGGGATTATTAACATATGCCACATCTACTTTTACCTGGGGCCTAGGGACTTGAATTAAGGTTCTTGTGTATGCATAGCAAGCATTTTATTTCCTGAGCCCACTCTCAGCCTTTCTCCTTAGAGTGTTACTTTTTATTGTCCTGGATTAGATCTATGTTGAATTAAGTTGTATATGTAAGGAAGGGTCCATGCGTTCTTTTGTGTGTGGATACTCAATCCTCCCAGCAGTGTTGGCTGAAGACCCCATTGTTTCCCATGAGTGGTTTTGAGCTTGCTGCCACTGAGGACTTTTTCTTAAGGAGATTAACAACCAGGAATGCTATCCCACTTGACAACGCTTCCTGATGCATACTATTGATGTCCTCAATTGGTAGCAGCTTGATTGTTGCCTCTGAATTCTCCTTCCCAATTCCAGGGTTAGTTTTTAGTTACAAGATGAAAAACCTGGACTTTCCAGCCCTTATTTCACTAGAGACCAGTGTGCAGAGCCTTGACTGGGAATTCTAGGAGTGCTGAAGAGATCAGGACCGGCTTCAGAAGGGAGGGAAGATACCCACTGAGGGGGGCAGAGACGATGTAAACAGTGGGTTTGGGGCACCTTACAAGAGACAGGACACTAAGAAGGAACTGTCTTAGTTTAGCTGTGAGTGTGTGAGCACATAGGAAAGGGAACACAGCTTTCCTTTTTGGAGGTCAGCATTCTTAGGCCACAGTTCAAGCTGGTGGAAGTTTGTTTTGTCACTGTTGCCATGGAAAGGGTACTCTTTGCCCTTAGGCTGGTATAGGGACAGTCACATAAATAAACTAATGCCAGGCCTTTTTTCCCCTTCTTATCACCTCACCTGCTTTTCAGGTTACTGATTAAACCTCCTTAGACTTGAGAGCCCCCAGGTAGTCAAGGGCCAGCCCCTTGCAGCCCAGCATGAACGAAGGAGCATGCTATACTCTCCAGCAGCCACCATTGGTTACAGTTGGCAACTGAATCGTACACAGTTGCAGGCTGCTTCTGTGTGTGATTTCCGAGACTCCTGGCTGAAGGTCCTGGCCAACCTAATACTTGTTTCATGATCCGATCCCAAAGATGTCTTGAAAACTGCACTCCACTCTAATTCCCACCAGGGGCTTTACCCGCTACCTCTGGTTCTCATCAGTAGACTTCAGGGCTGGGATGTGCATTTTACTTTCCAACCATGAAAAAAGAAACCGAGTCCAACCATGAAAGAAGAAACCGAGTCCAAAGGTAACTTTCTCAAAAGCCACAAGCTAGGACTGGGGAGACAGCTCAATGAGTAATAGCACCAGCCACGTAAGCCTAATGGCTTGCGTTCCATCCCCAGGACCCACATAAAAAGCCAGATGCAGCAGAGTGCGTCTGCAATCCCAGCCCAGGCACAGTGAAGTGGACAGGACAACTGGCTGCAAGCTTGTGAGCCTGCTAGCCTGAAGCAGCTGCTCAGAGAAACAAACAAGGGAGATCCTGCCTTTGCAAATCAGATGGTGAGAACCAACTTGGAACATTTCCCTCTGATTTCCATATGTGAATGTATACACACTGACATGCACACATGCACACACACATGTGAACACACATCTGTTATACAGACACGTAGGTCTCCATCACTGTGATGTAAAACTGTCTAGGCTCAAAGCTTGTAGTCTCATAATTCTGCTCTCTATTCAGGTGAGATGAAGCCAGAGAATGGAAAGGGATAGAGTGTCTCAACCTATGCCCTAAGCACAGGATGGACATTTACAGACAGACAGACTGCACAGAGAAAAGGGCTTTGTGAGACTCAATAGGAACAGAACTGGAATATGTCCTTTCTGTAGTATAAATCTTACATTCCTCTGTAGAAATTGGGTCAAAACCCAAACCCCAGGGAAAGTGAAGTGGTTTTATAATGCACACTGTACCCGAATGGCTAGAAGAAGGCTCTGGAAGGACTGTGTGGAGGAAGCATCTGCTTCAGAGTGGGTGCTTCAGATGATGGGAAGGAAGGGCATGTGTGCAGAAAAGCAAGAACTTGTCCTTATTAATTCGATTGGCTTTAGGTTCTCTTTGTATCATATGATAACATTTTTTAGAAAAATTACCGTGATGTCAGCTACACCTGTTGGGAGCCTGATGTTCAGGAACACAGGGCTCATAGACAGAGTTAGTTCCCAAACCACAGTGGTAAGGATTTATATTAAACAAAGATTAACCAGTGTGTGTGTGTGTGTGTGTGTGTGTGTGTGTGTGTGTACATACACACTCTCCTGTGTGTGTGTGCACGTGTGCATGCCCAGATGGTTTGTGAGACTGATATCTAGACAGGGAACAACTAAGGACCTGCAAGAAGGATTTGGGAGTATGTAGGGATTTAGTAGGTGTGTGGTTGGTAGAAGAAAACAAAGGGAATTGCAGGTAGAGGTTAGCAGTGGCAAAGAGCCTCAACTGTGGCTGCCATCTTGAGATCATGTCTTTGCCACTCCATGAATTTTATTGGCTCCTGTGAACACTGGCCACATCAATATGTAAGAGGCATTTTGTTCTGTGAGGTTTCCTACATGGGGTATCTCATTCAAATACATACAATCAGTTGAGATAAAGCTTCAGATTTTATGAATCACCTGACAACTGGATGCCCTGGTTTCTATTTTCCGGAGCTGTTATCACCAATCATGACTGCAATAAACTTTTTACAGCAACCCTGCTGCACATTTTGGGTCTTTGGGTAGAGATAAGAGCTTTTTCTCTTGCTTAATGCTTATAACCTGGACTGTTCACTTTGACAAATGGAAGGAGAAATTTGAGTAATGAGGTTTCTCCATTTGAAGCCTCACTGCCAGGGAGGACTTACTGGGTACTCAGTGATATCTTAGTTAGGATCATAATGGATCCAAACTAATAGGAGACACAGGCACACACATATAGACATGGGCACACACACACACACACACACATACACACACACACACACACAGAGGCACACACACACACACACAGATATGCACACGTGAACACACACACACACACACACATACAGACACAGGCACACATGCACACAGACATAGAAATATACTCTTGTTGTCTTCCCCCTCTTTAACTATTAAATTATATTTTCCAGTTTGTATCTCCACAATCACACTGTCAGAGGGTAGTGAGCTTTATTGTTGATACCCAGCTTTCAGCAAAGTATTTAAAAAATATATATATATATATATATATATATATATATATATATATATATTATAACATTTAAAATTTTAAATTAGAAATATTTTAAAAAGCTTTAAGGCTCCTAGGTTTAATTCAAACAATTCCAGTTTGGAGAATAGTCACATACGTGTGACCTGCACTGTGTGTGTCCCGTTTCCCACTCCAGGAGGGGACTCTGCAGGGCCCCAGGGCACCTGGTGATAAGCTGTTAGCTTTCTGTGTGCACATGGCCTCCCAACACCAGGGTATTACATTTAAATGTATAACTTTCTGTGCTATATGTCTTAAATCTACATACACAGTATTTTATTATTTTCCTAATTTTTTCTTCAAAAAGACTTTTCTCTCTGTAGAAAATATTCCATTGAAGTTATTGTTTAGTTTTCAATAATTGTTTTAGATTTATTTTATTTTTAATTTTTAAACACGTTTTTGTTAAGATCTTTTCTTATATCCTCCAGATTATAAAAATCATTACATTTTTCTCCCTCAAAACTTACCCCCCCACTTCCCGCACTTGCTTTCTTTCAAATTCATGGCCTCTTCTTTCATTAATTATTGTTACATGCATATATATATATATATATATATATATATATATATATTCCTAAATATAACCTGCTCAGTCTGTGTAATGTTTCTGCTGGGTATGTTTGCAGGAGTGATCATTTGGTATTAGATGTCTTTTCCTCCTCTTACACTCTGTGTTCCTTAGTTGCCTGTAGCTCTTTGTGTAGGGTTGAGGCCTCACAGGCTCTCCCCTCTTCACTCTGGCTAATACCTTGAGC